ATCCCGTAAGAAAAATGAAACATAAAGTTTTGCACTAGATTTGGCAATTTTGATTCGAATTTAATTACCTAAATTTAATACTCTACTAGAGACTTGATATAATCCTGAATATAAAGTTTTAAGCTTGAACCGAAACCCAAAGTAAACTAAATTGAACCAAAATCGAATCGGATTTTAATTGGGATGATATAAAAATATACACAATTTAATCCGAATCAAAAGCAATATGAATCAAAATTATCGAAATCTGATTTGACCCAAACATCAATATAATTTTAACTTGATAATTGAATCAAAGTGTACGAATATTTTATTTTTGTTACTTATGTTGCGTAGCAATATGACAATATCAAAATGGTGAATGTTTTCTTCTTTTTTGTATTACACTACGAGTTAACCATTATCTTTATTAACAGTTTAATGGTGTACAAACCGAATGATTTCAATAGTTAAACAGGATTATTGTTATTCATAGGGATCTCGAGTTCAAGCACTAGTGACCACAGGGTATTTGAGCGTCATCGTAATTATTGAGAGTCTTTAAAACATATACTAATACGTGTAATCACTCTAAATTAATTAAAAATAACAATTTAGTGGTTCAATATAATATTTCTTTCTTTAAAAGACTTTCTATATTTGATACGATTGTTTAAAAAAAAAAAGTAATTGATACAAAAGATTATAAAATAAAGTTACTACCTAAAATTATAGTTTACGTAGTTACTTTAATTGACGTCACTTAGACTATAGGCTAAAGTTAACTTTAAAAGAATACTTCATATAAGAACAAGTAATTAAAGTAAACTCAAAATTAATTTTAGTTGTCCAAATTTTTTCGATAAAAATGTGTCTAATGTTTCGAATGTCATATTTTTAGGTATATAATTGTAACGGCCTTTAAATTTAATTGTTAAGTGACACATGTTTATTTTATATAATTTTAAAATTTTTATTAAAAAAGCAATTTAAAAAATTATTTTAAAAAAAACTAATTTTTTTTAAAATTATAAAAATCCTAAACTTCCATAGAAACTTAATTTTAATCACTTTGTCACCTCCAACCGCCGCCAACCGACCAAAATTCCAATCCTGTGAGACCAATCGAACACCCAACGACCAAAACCCTTGCCCCAACCTCTAATTGCATCAACCAATCAATAATTGTAGCGTGGAGAACCCCTTTCAGCCGATCACGAAATCTTATTTTTACACGATCATCGGACTTTCTTTCGGTCACGAAAATAAAGGGTTTCGATCGTTGGGTGGTCGGTCGATCAAACATCATTAGGTATCCGGCCGATTGACAGTGTTGGTGGCAACCGTTGATGCTAAGGGATTAAAATTAATTTTTTTTGGGATTTTGGGTTCTTTTATAATTTTAGAAAACATTGTTTTTTAAAAATAAAATAAAATGGTAAAGTATATAAAAAGTCCCCAAACTTTTAGGGCACTTGCATTTTAGTCAACCAACTTTTGAAACTTGCAATACAGTTATCGAACTATTAGTTCGTTTTCACTTCTGTCTCTGCCATTACCTCCGTTAGTTTTTCGCTGACGTGACAGTTAACCTTCCGTCAACTCTCTTCTTCTTATTATGAAAACCCTAACCTCCAAAAAAATCAGAAACCCATTGAAAATCATAACCTCCACAAAATCAAAAACCCAAAAATCATAACCCCACAAAATGATTCTCCTATTTTTGGTTAAATAGCTCTACAAGCTCATGAAGGAAAGCTTTTAGAGACTTGAGTTGAACAACTAAAAAGTTTTGGCTTTCAGCTTACTTATGTAACTAATGGTTTATCTGACCTATTTGTTGTGAAATACAGAAGACGAGGTTATGAATGTCATGAAAGCTGCTTATTTAAGTTACAACGTTATGAATAATATTGTGATTCCAAAGCTTGAAAGTGTAATTGATGAGGATAAGAAAATTTCTCATGTTGCCTTGATGAATGAAGCTGAGAAAGCTATAGTGAATCCATAGCTAGCTAAAGTAAAGCTTAAGCCGGAGAATGTTGATATTTGTTATCCTCCATATTTCAAAGTGAGGGGAGTCTGATCATAGACCTAGTGCTGCAAGCAATGACGAGAACTTGTACTATGATTCTGCCAATGTTATTTTACGTGCAGTTGGAGCTCGCTATTACAGTTATTGCTCAAATCTTGCCATAACTATATTGATAGATGCCACTTCACTTCAGAACAAGGCAAATGGGGTTCTTCTCCATGAAGCTGCAATTGGTGCTTTGAAGCCTGGGATAAAGTTGACGGGAGGTTAACTACCACACCAGAGAAAAATTAGCGAAGGTAATGGTATGGACAAAAATGAAAATGAACTAAAAGTTCGATAACTGTATTGCAAGTTTCAAAAGTTGAGTGATCAAAATGTAATCACCCTAAAAGGTTAGGGATTGTTTATATAATTTAACCAAAATAAAATTTAATTTTAAGTGTTTTTTTTAAAATAAAATTTTATATACCGACACATGTCACTTAACGGATGTTACAATTCAGGAACCTAAAAATATAACGTCGAAAACGTTAAATACCTATTTTTAATAAAAAATACTTTAGGCACCTAAAATTATTTTTTAGTATACTTTAAATACTTATTTTGCGTAAAGCCTTAAAAGAAAATAAAGTTAACATTTTCTACCAACAAAAATCAACATAGAACATGAGTCTCAAATAAAAACTTATCATTCAAAAGTGTTATTTAGCTACAAACCAAATTAAATATCTTCACTCGAATACTCTTACGTATCAAACTCGGTTATATTGAGTTTCTTAAAATGATTTCTTAATAAAAATTTAAAAATAAATGAAATATTCTAAAAATTTAGCTTCTCACTTTTAAATCTTATAATATTAGTAGACATAAATAATGTATGCATAAGCTATGGTAAATTTGAATCTTATAATATTAGTACACATAAATATTGTACGTATAAATTGTTGGATTTTTTTTGCAGTGTATCAATTTAAGAATTAAAGTCTCTTTTAAAAAAAATGATAAATTGTTTATTTTTATAAATATAAAAATAATTATTTTTATTTTATAATTTAAAATTTAAATACTATTGAGTATAATATTATTTATAAAAGTATTTATAACAATATTTATTCAAATATAATTATTATGTTATTTTTCAACTTCAATGATATACTATATTTATAATTAAATATTAAAATATCTAGTTGAAAATGTTAAATAATAATAAAATTGATAATTGAAATTTTTAATTCTTCTTCGAATAGCTTATATTGTAAAATTTTTGGATCAGATCAATATAAAATTCAAATCACTAATTTTAACATGTTTTATAACAGTGACAAATGTAGAAAAAAGTTATAGGTCCAATATAATTATAATAAAAAATATCAAATATAATTCATGAATATTTTAAGTTTAACAATATAATAATAATTATATATGTACTAAATCTAAAAAAATATACTCCACCAACATAATTTTCTTAATGTAATTCATACATATTTTTATTTAGGGTAAACTATCTATTTGATCACATACTATTTACTTAATTTATGTTTTGATCACTAAACTATTATTTTTTAAACCATACCTAACCTTATATTTTGGTCACCATCCGTTAATTTTTTTTTTGAAAAGAAGCTGTTAAAAAATTAACAACGATGTTAATTTGACATCATTTTTTATTTTTTAATCTTGATGTGACATCATCTTATGATGAAATGTTAACATCACAATTAATTTTTTAAAGACGAGTGATCAAAGTAAAACCAAATCATAACATTAAATGTGATTTAAAATAATTAATAGTTGAGTGACCAAAACAAAAAATAAACAATAAATAGTGAAAAAAATAAGTAGTTTATCCATTTTTTAGGCATTAGATGGGCCATGGCCTAGGTAGTCGTAGGCCTACATACGCCCCTGGTTTATAGGGTTAGGTTTGAACTAAATTGTCATCCCTATATGATGGTTAAATTTGAAACATTGAACTTTTAAAAGTTGAATTGAACCTAAATGATAGGATTGATAAAAAATATACGTTTTTATATAAGAATATATCAAAATATTTATATATAATCAATTGAATTAATATCCGACTAATCCCAAATTAACCCAAAGGTTGAAAGATTAACTCGAATTAAAAATAATCAATGTAATATTGACACAACAAAAAAAATTAACCAATCTGATATTGACATGACTTGAAAACTGATCGATTTGATACTGACCCAAACCAAAAATAGATTGATACGATATTGACTTAATATAAAAATTGACCAATCCAATATTGACTAGAGTTGATACTCAACTTGACATGAGTTATTATAAATTCAAATTAAATCTAAATCAGATTCGATCTAATCCGATCCGATTTGAATCGAATCTAAAACTAATATAGTCTATACCTAAAATGACTCGACTCGAAAAACTCGATCTGAACCCTATACAAACGATGGATTGTTACTTTTATTTTACATTGTGCAAACATATCCTAAGTCATATCATATATATTAGATTTGAATAATATATCTTTAAAGTTTACTCACGAGTAACTACATATAATTGATTAATTAAGTTATTCATCTTTATTTATCTATATTCTTTTATGTTATATATTCTAGACTCACCAAAAATATTCTTATTTCTTTTACTAGATCACTCTTCCTTTCCCTCTAGATAGATATAGACAGATAGAGTTAATGATTATATTTAGAATTTGTATAAAAAAATTTACCCGGTTGCATGATTAGAGTCTACTAAGAGTCTATGTTGTTGGCACTAAATTTGCCCAACACGAGCCCGAACCCCCAAGACTTCCAAATGAACGTAGGTTGAACCCATTATTGTTATTTGTAATTTTAGGAAGCCCGCAAACCCCTCACGGGCTTACCGGAAGCAATGATCTTGATCCAGCAGCCTCCATTCAAGCGGTCTCCACACTCCAACAACTAGCTGTGGTCACCCAACTTTCAGACATATTTCACTTCCAGCTGATTACTACAATTTTTTAGAATAGAATAGATGGCTTTTAGGGGACAAGGACGTGGGCGAGGATGGGGATTTGGTGGTGGGTATTTTAAGTCTGAACCCTTTGTGCTCTTCCCTGTAAGTTTTCTTCATACTTCCGGCCATGGGTTCAGAACCCTCGGATTTAAACTACAAATAATGATCGAATATTAACTTCTTATTTTTTTATTGGAGTTCTTTTGTAGGATATTGAATTGCCTGATGTAAAAGCCGTGCCCGAAGAGAAAGCCTTAGTCATCTGGAATTCAAGGTTGATAAACTATTGGAAAGCCTCTCCTTACTATATTGAAGAACATGTTTCAAAGAGTAAGTGCCTCGAATTTTAGCGTGTTGGCTGTGTGATTCCTTCAACTGAATGATCTTGCTGCGCCTAAAGAACCCCCAACAAGTTTTTTTGGGAAAATTCCAACCTTCTCTGCTTGTTCAAATCAATAATCTTTGAAAATGTGAGAAGGCAACTTAAAAGATTGTGCTTCATAACACAAATTAAATCCACCTTGCAGTTGAACTCTACCAGCATGATAATTCGCATGCCGAATGTCTAATGGTTTGATGCATTCTGTAATGAATTAATTGCATCTTTTTGTTATTGTTTGCACAAACTGTTTGTAGCAGCCTCAGAGAAACTGTTTTGCATCCCGATATTACTATGCGAGAAATTTCCCTTTTTTATAACCGAATGTTGAATGTTTTGCCGGTATTGAAAATACTATTTTCCCAGTTCTACCATCATATTCCTTTTTATCATGTTTGATTCATGATTTCAAAATACTGATATGGTGCACATATTCCTAGTTTGTCAAAGTTGTCAATTTTCTTCGATGCAGTCTTACAATTTTGGTTGTCACGCCATCTTGCTTGGGAATATTGTTGTTGCAAAGCCAGATCTTATATTTTAGTTATATTGTTACTAATTTTGTTTTTCCCTAAATGTTTTGTTAGAAAAACAGAGCATGGATATAGAAAGATTTTCTGACTGGGGCAAGCCGAAGAACACCTCGAAACGCAATAGTCTTAACCAGGTTCTACAACTCCAATCTCATAATTTTCCGAAAGAACTTATTCAAGGTTTGTAACTGAGACAACTTATGCAAATATTTGATTGATTGTAATTATAAACTTATGTATATTGGACGTTAGCTTTTATCTTTCCTTTTTGCTGGTTCGACTATATCCAAATATTGGAATTTCAGATTCAAGCAGAGTGCAACGGAGTGCCAAAAAAATGCGATGGAATCTAGACTCAGGTTTGAAAAGCATCCTTCTTTTCCTGTATTTTATACTCTATATTTATAGCATGGGGTAATGGTTGGTTAATAGATTCCTCCAATGAAAGTAATTTTCAACTTCGCCGGTTCTTAAAAAACTCTCAAGCTTCTACTTGTTTACATGGTTCATGGACTTTACTAGTATTATAGTCAGTAAGCTAGCTACTCACCGGACGACTATAGAGGTGGTTTAATGTTATGTTGCTTGGACTTGGATGTGTCTTACATGGGGTATGTATTTGGCACAAATGTTCAATTCTTTTCAAGATTTCCATGTATTCGGAAAGTCTTGGGAGGATCATATCTCCGTACCTTATCCGAATATATGTCGAACACTGCTCACTTAAAGAAAAAAAATGAAGAGTCAGAGTAATGGAGGTTTAATAGGCTAGGCGACCATGTTTCTCCGCATTCCTGTAGTGATTTCGAATAGAAAGACTTTGTTGGAAATGATCTCGGAGTAGCTGGATCAGTTTGACAAGAATGGTGTCTTCAGGTAGGTAAAGTTCATAGTTTCAAGCCCAAGCATCTCGGTTCACGAAACCATCCTTAAATTTCAAATCTAATAATAGGATCGGCGCAACCATTTCGCGATCTTTAGGGTAGTGGCTACCTTTGTACCAAAAAGATGTGAATGGTTTTGACTGTGATGTTCTATCTCATATATGTTTTCATTATTTCAAAGGAAACCAAAAGTATATCATTTTTCTCCCATCTAAACCCATAACATATTCCGGTTTATGTTTTTCTTACTTTTGAACAGGCCTGGAGAAATTGGATATGTTTGAGAAATTTGAAAAGGATTTTGAGGTAAGTTTTCCTAGCATCTCTCTTTGAGAGCATATACTTCGGACTTGAATTTACTGCTTCTCGAGGGGAAAACACTGTTGAAACTTGGATCGCATCTGTACTTTCTTTTAATCTTTTAGTAAGAAAAAAACATTGGTGTTTTGTCCTTGTTTTGTTAAATCGTTCTCGTAATGGATGCATGTTTACCTCAATAGATTCGAAATGTTTGTTCACTTGACAGGACAAAGAAGGAAAGGAGAAAGGTGATGGTGAAGAAGATACAGATGAAGAACAGGGAGAACAGTCAGACGAATCATACAGTGATGATGGTGATTATAACGAGGTCTGCATAAAGCTTGAGACGCAAGCCTCCTTTGAATTCGAATGCTTGCTTAGACTTAGTATTAATATTCATGATATCAGCGCCCATTATTCGTTTGTTTATAGGAGAGAGTCTAAAGGACCTCTTTAAAGAAAAAGAAATAAATTTTAATGCTTCGAACTTTGCAGAATGAACATTTCGACGACGATGAAGATGATTATAACGTACAGGATGACGGCGATGGTATGCATTTGATTTCTTCAGCTTACCACTTGCAAGTGTTGTAGATGGAGCGTTCTAATGAACTCTTTTGTGTTTCAACTGTGTGCAGATGAACCTATATATTAGGTGCTCATCAATTGAAGTGATGGAATCAGTGAGGCAAGACAAGATCCCTTTGTAAATCTCTCACATTAGATACACGGAAGGCATGCTAAAAAGCAAAATCCAAATTAGCCACCTTTTTATTGTTATTGCAGAGGAATTAATTATTATTGTTATTTTTTTTAAATATTTGAATTGTTTTTTCTCTCAGTTTTTATATTTTAATTAGAGTTAATTGCACCATATATCCGTAAACTCTGACCCTTGTTTTAAATTGATCCTATATTTTTAACATTCTAATTTCATCTCCAAATTTGGACACTTCTAAATTGATCCCAAATTTTTCAACATTCTAAATTCATTCATAAACTGTGATTTTCGTTCTCAATTGGTTCTTTAAGTTAGAAAATTTAAAAAGTTTAGGGATTAATATAGAATGAGTGTCATAGTTTGAGTATGAATTTAAAATGTTCAATAGTATATGGATTAATATACAAATAATGATTATAGTTTGAGAACATATAATACAATTTAACTCTTTTATCTAATTTGGATTTTAAATGAAATGCGATAAAATTAAATTCTTCACTAAAAAAAGCATTAATTTACAGAATACAATTGAACTCTTTTATTTAATTTGGATTTTAAATGAAATACGATAAAATTCAATTCTTCACTAAAAACATTAATTTATAGGGTAAACTACACCTACCTATTATTTAGTTTCTATTTTGATCAGCCAAATATTTTTTTCCTAAAATCATACTTAGCGTTATGTTTTGGTCACTCGTCGTTAAAAAATTAAAGGTGATGATGATGAGTCACCATAAGATAATGAAACATCAACATTGAAAAATAATAATAAAATGTAACGTCAGTATCATTGTTAAAATTTGACGGTGGATGACTAGAATAGAACGTTAAGTATGATTATGAAAGAAATAATAATATGATGACTAAAATATAAAGTAAGTAATAGGAGGGTGACCAAATAATCAGTTTACCTAATTTATATAACAGGACCAAGTGACCAAGTTGTTAATAATGAAATTTATATGGAGAGTCGAAAGAGGCAAGATGAATTTGATTGGATGTTGGTTTTGAACATATCCATGCATGATGAGGTGTCAAGAAAGGGCGGAGCTCTAGGCCTGTAAATAAACTGAATGTTCAGCGAACCGTTCATGAACCGTGTGGTGGGAAGTTCGTTTATATGCGTTTATTTATTAAATGAACGAATATGAACAAGATTGTGCGTTCGTTTAATTAAATGAACGAACATGAACATAGGTCTCGTTCGTTCATTTACGTTCGTGAACGTTCGGTTATATTCGTTCGGTTATGTTCGTTCGGTTATGTTCGTTTATGTTCATTCATTTATGTTTAACCCAATCTTTTTAAATCAATTTTGGTGACCAATTTGTAAGTATCTTAAAAATATTAATTAATCTGATATTATGATGACCAATTCCATAATTAACCCAATTTTATTTGGAGATTAAATCCAATATGTTAACTTGTGAGACACCTCGCACCTATATTCATTTCCCCCTTTTTTTTTCCCAAACCCTAGTGTTCACTAAAGAGTAGAGACGATCGCTGAAAGCTTCAAAACAAATTATATTATAGTGCAATCTGAAGTTTTACATGTATGTTTTCATCTCTTTCTCTATTTTATTTGACTTAATAGTTGATATGTAAAGTTCTTGCATGTATATTCCCATCTAAAACTCAAGAAAACATCATACTTCTTTCTAGAAATAGATGGGAAGATAAATGTAACAATCGGAAGTATATAAGCATCAGTAAGGAGAAAAATATATAGAATTTGTCAGAAAACAAAACAAAGGTTTCTATGTAATTTCTGCAAAAGAGTGTAATAGCGGAAGTAATGGGTTTTCTAGGAAGAATCCATTAATAAGTAGAAAATACACTTTGACAATGAACTTTTATTTTCATAATTCTTGTGTGGCCTTTAGTTGTAGAGTAGACTTTAGGTACGTTAAAATTTTGAATGGTGGTTTAGCAATAATATCAGTTACGATATGTAGCATCAAAGGGATTTCAGATCTATGTTATCGCCTTGTAGTCCAATTTGTACCGTTCAAAATCTTAATGCTGTTAAATTTTCTACTCTGCCAACGGAAAAGACCATTATTAACAAACCTCACTAAAGTCTGACATTGATGTCACAAAACTTTTAGCCGGCGAATTTATTAGAATAACGTAGTGGAAAATGATTGTTCATATGTAATCATGGACCACTAAGATAAATGTTATATCGTTAAATTAAAGTCGTGTGATTCATTTAATATCTTTAAAAGATCGATCGAAATATTTGATATCTTCAAACATTTCATCACTGTTAATCAGCTCTTATGCTATTTATCACTGTAGATTTGGTTGATTTGCATTGTCGACTATTTTTCATGAAAGAACAATGGAAGGTAGGGTCTCCAATGTTTATGTTCGTTTATGTTCGTGTTCGTTTATGTTCGTGTTCGTTTATGTTCGTTTACGAACATAAACAAGTTATATTCCTTAATAGACGAACATGAACAAAAAAAAATTTATTCGTTTATGTTCGTGTTCGTTTATGTTTGTTTATTTATTAAATGAACGAACATGAACATACCTCCGTTCGTGTGCGTTCGGTTCGTTTACAGGCCTACATACGTATGAGCACTTGATGTGCGAAATCGAGAACGGCCACCACTTGTCCTCCGCTTCTATTCTCTGCCTCGATGGCAGTGTTTGGGCCCAGAGCTCCGCTTTTCCTCAGGTCATTCTTCACCATTTCATTATCGGGTTTTAATTTCTATATTAATTATCAATACAATGCTGTGTTTGATCATTCGGAGATCTTCATTCTATGTGTACACAACTGATATTTGCTTGCCATCTCCGTTTTCTATTTCTCGCAGTTTAAGCCAGAAGAGATTAAGGCGATCTTGAGAGATTTTGATGAACCAGGGTCTCTTGCGCCAACTGGGCTGCACCTCGTTGGCGCTAAGTACATGGTGATTCAGGGAGAGCCTGGAGCCGTGGTTCGTGGCAAGAAGGTCATTATTCATTGCTCTTTTTTATTAATCATTCATTCTCCTCCAGGCTCCATCCTTCTACAAATATATTTTGTGTATCATATTTTGTAAAGCTTGCCTGTTTGTAGAATACATTCAACGCACGCCTCTTAATGGGCTACAACAAACTCTCCAGTGAGAGAAATATTTTTGTTTCATATAAAGGTTGAAGATTGAATTCGGTTATGTTGTTGTCATTTGTATTCAGGGATTTAAATTGCTATTGTGGTCACCTTTTTTGTTGTGTTGTGCGCTATTGCCGTAATAACATATGGTCATTGCGGATCTCACATTTGTGAAATAACGATTTTGGAAGGAACCTTTACTACTATATAACGGCTGCTATCTAGTAAATCTCAGGTTGTGACACGAATTTATAGCAAAAGAATTGCTTAACCAGTGGATATAAATCCAATTCCTAGTACCCATAGTATAGTTGATGCAAGATAGAGAGGCCTTTACTAGTACATACACACTTACCTTTCGCATAAATGGAAATAAGATTCGATAAATACTTTTAAGTCTCTGGTACGACACATAGGAGATGAGATCTTTCTCCAATATTTTCATTTCTCAGAAATCTCAAGAATCCTCAGTTATGGACCTTAGAAATGGCATGTAATCATTATAGAGCTCCATGGTCCATATGTGGAGCCATTTTCCGAACTCCATTATTTCATCCATCCTTGATTTGCTAGTCCCTTTTGATTAGAGTCTATTGTTCACTAAAAATCACGAACACATGGATGAGATATTGCTTTTATGTTTACCTTTCAGAAAGTTTTATTCCTAAAGCATTTTTCAGTTCTCAATTGCAGCAATCATTATCTTATTTTACATATGTACATTACAGGTGTCTAGCTATGCTACAATTGTGTTCTATGTAATGTGAACCAAAGAAAGTATCCATCATTTTCCTTGTTTTAAGCAAGCACAAATGTTTAACTACCCTTTTTATATTAGAATCGCTAAGATGAGAAGTTAACCCAAAGTTGCTGTTCTAAATTTACTTTCAGATAATGGAGTAAAATAGTGGCATAATGTTGTCATCTTATATACAATTACACGTTGTAAACACTTGCACTCAACATGGTTAACTGTGAATTATTTTTTATTGTTGCTGATTCCAAGTTATAGTTGAACTGATTATGGTGTATGAGCTAAAGAAATTCGTCGTCAATTAACTTCGCAGGGAACCGGCGGTGTGACCGTGAAGAAAACTGGGCAAGCATTGATTTTCGGGTTATACGATGAACCGGTGACTCCAGGACAGTGTAACATGGTGGTTGAGAGGTTGGGATTACCTTGTTGATCAGGGTATGTAGGCCTTAAACCCCCACTCCCTTGGCCTTTTTTTTGTTTCCCTGTTGGATTTGGGGTTTGCATCTTTTATATTACATGACCATGAACTGGCTTTCACCCCTTTTTTTTGGAGAGTTGAGAATAAATTATGTGAAAGATTTTTGGGTTGCTAGGGTTTTTTTCTTTGTTCTATCATTTTGGCAATGTCACTAAAATATATTATTCTTTAATCAATAAAAAATATCACGACAGATGACACTTTTAGTAAGTGATTCGCATTGGTTAATAATATTATTCTTTAATCAATAAAAATATATTTTAAATTTAATATTAAATATTCCATTTTCAAAAACTTGGATAATTCTATATATATATATATATATATATGTCCCGATAAGAGTGGATCAATCAAACAAATCATGTCAAATATCATACAACCTATAAGGAAATGAAATTGAGAAAACGACACATTAAACCCTTATATTATTATAAATTCTCAACTAAATCATTAACGTTTTATTTATTCACTTATATCAGTCTATTTATTTATTTTTATTCACATCCATAATTATTTAATTTGATTATTTGATACAAATAATAGAAAATGATATCCATGCTCATGCTATAATTATAAAAGAAGATATTATTGTCGTTGCACTTGACATGATTTTTACAATTTAGAAATTGAAATAATTATCATTAAATGGGAAAAATAAAAATTAGAAGGAAAAAGAAAAGGTTGTGCGAATTAGTGAGG